CTCCACATCCCCTCCAGCATTTGTCGTTGGCTGATTTGTGGATGTGAGACATTCTGACTGGGGTAAGGTGGTATCTCAGGGTTGTCTTTATTTGCATTTCCTTCACCACCAGGGATGATGAACATTGAGGACGACAATTTTAAACAGGACCTGCTGAAGGATAATGAGCCAATTGGGGAAATGTCAGCGAAGGTGGTTCATTCTCCCTGGAGCTTGGTTCTTGGGGAATGACAATCCTTGGAGAGTGTTGCCCTCATAATATTTAGTACCCGATGAATTTAAACTTGGAACACTTCATAGCCCAGATGGCTGGGTAAAGGAAGATACCATGTGCTTTGAAATGTTGACCTGTGATGCAAACCAGCTTCAAAGAGAACTCTGAGTTCTCTTTGAGTTCTCAGTGATGAAGATTGCAGAACTCAGGGGTACCAGTGATTCCCAATACCAGCCTGAGAATCATTTGCAAGGGGCAAAACAAGTTTGATATTGGGAATTTTCAGGCAGAAAGAAGGTGAGTGCGTTCATCTCACACTTGTGACATGAAACTACGAGGCCTGGGTGTAATTATTATGCAAAATCAGGCATTTGTTTCCATACACTTTCATGTGGCTAGTTACTCATAAAATATATCTCAAGCCCGCTGTGGTGTGCTGGATGTGTGTTTATTGCACGGTAACCCTGGACTGTCTCCCGGAGTGAAAGCTGTAGCACACAGAGAAAATACTTCGTTGTTCAGAAGTGTAGATCTCTGAGCACCAAGTGGACGGCCCAATCCAGCAGAAGGTTTTGCAGAATGGCTCCACAGTTGACACATTATGGAAGAGATAGGAGAGAAAATAAATATTCGAGCAGTGCCCCAGGCTGCCACAGGAACTCCTCACGACTCCAGTGCCCACAGACCAACGCACTGGGGTTCAATTTCCATGGGCCACGAATTGGATAAGTATGCTACAGATCTTAAGGGGATTACTGTCTAATCATTTATTACAACATACTTGAATAAGCCAGGATAATTCATTGTAGTCTACGAATTTAGTTTTATCGACTGAATCTGAATTTTTAATTGCTTTATTTGACTTCTGTTAGAATATGAGCTTCTCTGAAATTATTGCTATGTTTCATGTGAACTGAGCTCAACACTGACCAAAAATGAAGCTTGGGATGTATTCACATCAGTCTACATTTCTACACTGGCAATTAGTCCCATAAGTCTGAAATCTAGCTCATAAGACTCATACTAAAATAGTGTTCTGAGATTCATTCTGTTGCTTGGATTTCTGTGTATTTCTTTTTAAGGCTCAGTAGTAGTCTAGATAAGATAGAAACACACATAGTTAGATAGACGATAGATTTGTGGATACATACATAGAGACATAGGTCGTCAATTCATCCTTAATGAACATATTGGTTGTTTATAATCCCAGGGCATGGGTAAGAGAGCTACCATGGAAAATTTTGTACAAAGTTTTATACAGCAATTGTTTGTGTGCTCTCAGGTGAGAAGCATGAGGCAGGACAGATCACACAGTGTCTAAATAATTGCCAAGCTGTTAGGGACTTTCAGATCTCTCATGTTTCAATTGCTTTTCAACAAATTCTACTCTAATATATTTGGACTATGGGGCTGGGAAGGTGGCTCAGTGGTAGAGTGCTTGCCTTGCATGCCTGAGGCCCTGGGTTCGATTCCTCAGCACCACATAAGCAAAAAGAAAAAAGCCGGAAGTGGTGCTATGGCTCAAGTGGTAGAGCACTAGCCTTGAGCTGAAGAGCTGAGGGACAGTGCCCAGGCCCAGAGTTCAGGCCCCATAACCGGACCCAAAAATAAAACAAAACAAAAAATTATATATTTGGACTTTTACTTTGGTGCATGCAAAAGTTAACCCATCTACTCTATTCAACAAATAAAAAGTTACATGTATCAATCTGCATTTCTCAGTTGTGCCTTGTGCTCCCAACTTTCACAAAAGTCAAAGGAAACATTGAGCTATTAGATCAGTGTTTCTGAAATTTGACATCTGTAATAATCAGTTATTTTCCAACTGGTAGAATATTGCCACAATAATGACTGTGCTCATTTTCTCACTGATAAATTTCTTATTTTTTAAAATATCAGACGTGTGGTTTGAACTCAGGGCCTGGGTGCTGTCTCTGTGCTTTTTCACTCAAGGTTAGTGCTCTACCACCTCGAGTCACAGCTCATCTTCCTCACTGATAAATTTCTGCCAAATTTATTTTGTTGTGTTTTCTTATTTACTGTAGCTATTGTGTTTGTTTACATAACAAGAAAAGCTGAAGAACTTTTGTAGAATTCTTATTTCCTGATGCAAGAAGCTGACCAGGTTGATTATCAGAAGCAACTACTCTGAGGTTATTAAACATGACCATGTGTAGGGAGGGGTTCCTCTTCCAGCTGTCACGCAACCAGCTTTACTCACGTTCACGGCATTCTCCAGGTAACTAAATGCCTACATCTCAACCTAGAAATATGAATGTGAAATCTTTGAAATATTCAAAAAAGAAAACAGCTCAAAGGTTTTCAAGGGTGTCACCTTGTTCCAAAAGGAGCATGATGGCAGCCAGGTCCCTCCCACAACAATGCTCTTTTCTCCTCCCTTTCAGACTCTGAACACAGGACATGGCCCCAGGAAACCACTCCACAGTGACTGAGTTCATCCTGGCAGGGCTAACAGAGAAGCCAGAGCTCCAGCTGCCCCTCTTCCTCCTCTTCCTGGGGATCTACGTGCTCACGGTGCTGGGGAACCTGGGCATGATGGTGCTGATCGCGCTCAGTTCTCACCTGCACAAGCCCATGTACTATCTCCTCAGCAGTCTCTCCTTCATTGATGTGGGCCAGTCCACCGTCATCACCCCCAAAATGCTGGCGAGCTTTGTGACAGAGAACACCATCTCCTACCCAGAGTGCATGGCTCAGCTCTTCTTCTTTCTTGTTTTTGCTATCTCAGAGTGCTACATGCTGGCTGCCATGGCTTATGACCGCTACGTGGCCATCTGCAGCCCGTTACTTTATAATACCATCATGTCCAATCAGGCCTGTGTCATCCTTGTGCTAGGGGTCTATACCATTGGTGTAGTTTGTGCATCTGCTCATACAGGCTTCCTGCTGAGGGTTCACTTCTGCAAATTTAATGTTATCAATCATTATTTCTGCGATCTTATTTCTGTCCTGAAGCTCTCCTGTTCTCCCATCTATGTCAATCAAATACTGATTCTAATATTTAGTGGAATTAATATTCTTACCCCCAGCCTCACCATCCTGGGCTCCTACATCTTCATCATCGCCAGCATCCTCCGCATTCGCTCCACCCGGGGCAGATCCAAGGCCTTCAGCACCTGCAGCTCCCACCTCTCCGCAGTTGCTCTCTTCTATGGTTCTGCCTCTTTCATGTATCTGAATCCATCCTCTGCCAACTCCACAGACCAAGGGAAAGTGTCTTCCGTGTTCTACACCATCATGGTGCCCATGCTGAACCCCCTCATCTACAGCCTGCGGAACAAGGATGTCAGCATCGCCCTGAAGATGTTCGGGAAAAGAACAGTCCTGTGAAAAGAAGTGATGCAAATGTATTTGTTTTTTTTATTGTAAAGATACTATACAGAGGGTTACAGTTACATGAGTGAGGTAATGAGTACACTTCCTCTTGAACATTGTTAGCCCCTCCATTGTTTTCCCCCTCCCATCCCCTCCCTCCCTCCCTTCCCCGAAGTTCTTTTTTTTTTTTTTGATTGTGATTAAGTGATTACATAATTTCTAAGTTCATTCTAACTTTCCTGGAGCAAATTGTCTATCACAGTCTGTAATATATAACAGTGTTCACATGTTATACACCATACATGTGATCAGCAGCGTGGGGATATTTAGTAGTGGTTCAACCAGATGAGCAGGAGTTCTTTGTTTCTTAAGTCCTGTTAGTTTTGTCGTATCACCTAACATTTTGGATTTATCATCCACTTATCAGGGAGACCATGTACCGTTTGTCTCTTCGCTCTTGGCTTACCTCGCTCAACATGATTCCTTCTAGCTCCATCCATTTCCCTGCATATGCCATTATTTTGTCATTTCTAATGGCTGCATAATATTCCATTGTGTATAGATACCACAATTTTTGGATCCATTCATCTGTCGTGGGGATGCAAATGTATTTGATTAACTGTCCTGCTTAGAACCTTGCACCAACCAAGAGCTGTTGGCTTAATCTATCTATCCTTACCTTTCTTCGTTTCCTGAGATTATACGGACACTGTTTCTTTTCCTGTGGAACTGTTCATGTCATATTCTCTGTTTTTCTCTCATAATTATCCCTGAGACACACGCTATAGGAATGGGGATTCATGAGTCACCAGTGTCTTCCCCTTCCCCTGCCCCATCATGTAGGATCAAAGCATAGTCCTTAACATAAGGAAGTGCCCCCTTCCCAGCCCAGCGGCCTCTCCTCCTTGATTTAGAACACGGCATCTCTCGTATCTATCGTATACTGGTGACCTTAAGATGCATATATCTCCATCTTGGAAATGATGCTTTTCTACCATAACCTTCCTCAAACATTTTTTCCCTCAGTATTTTTTTTAATTTTTAGGAGATTTTTATTTTTATTTTATTGTCAAGGTGATGAACATTGGGGTTACAGTTACATAAGGTAGTGAGTACATTTATTTAAGGTTGCTCTCCTTTCTTATTTTAAAAAACATAGTTGGCTTCAACATCTGAATTAGAGAGCCACTCCAATACACGCTTTTCCATTCACTCTTAGCTTTAGAACAACTTGCAGCCAATGTCGAGGTCTATACCACCTGGTGATCTCAGCGAAGTCTCTACCTTATATATAAGGCTCATCATCATAGCTCTGGTACCCAGAAAATGTCTGTTGTGGAGTAGGTCCTTGATAATGTTCTTGAGATTTATTTCCTCTTGTAAGATTTATTCTCCCTTTATGAAAATCAGTGTGTATGCAACATAATTATCACCCTTTAACCATGTAAGTGCAGCTATGTAAAATGGAAGTGGAGGTGAGTGTTAATGTGATAGCTTTGAGCCAAAAAGTCACGCAAGAACACAATGCCCTGGGTTCCAACCTCAGGGCTGTCAGCAAAAATAAGGCATCCTTTTAAAAATCCAAGAGACAAAGGGTAAACAAAGGCAGCAGTGATACTAGATACTGTGTTGAAAATTAACTATATAACTTGTAGGTGGGCATGGGAGGAAAAAACAGGAGAGAAGGAGGGAAGGAGAGACCGTGTCCAAAAGTATATGTACTCTTTACCTGACATGTTGCTCCAACCCTCTGTATATTTCCTTTATAGTAACAGTAACAAAATTTTTAAAAATTCAAGAGACAGCAAAAGTTTTTTTTTATTGTGAAAATACCATACAGAGAAGTTACAATTACATGGGCAAGATAACGAGTACATTTCTTATCAAACATTGTTGCAGCAAAAGTTTCCTTTACAGTGATCTGCAGCTAGGTATAAATAGCTGCAGATGATAAAGAAAAAGATACAAAAAAATGTAATAATATGAGATGTCAGGCCAATTACTCTTTGAAATAGAGATTTATATTCTCTTAAAAACAGCTCAATTACTTTTTCCTTTAAATATAGAAACACTATAGCTTGGGATAGATGCTACATAAGAGTCCTATTATTAGAACTAGAATAGGACATTTAAATTATTGTGGGAACTAGTAGGTCTGAAATTGTTGGGAATGTAGGAAATTGGGGGTAGGATAAACCATAAAATGTGTAAAGATCTTCAGAAGAAAAGTGTCAGCATTTGCTCCTCCATGCTTTTTTGTCAGTGCAGCTACATATTTACTGTGAGATAATTATTACTTGTTAAAATGAAAATAAAATGGACATTAAAAAACAAGTTGTGGGCTGGGAAGGTGGCTCAGTGGTAGAGCGCTTGCTTTGCGTACATGAGGCCCTGGGTTTGATTCCTCAGCACCACATAAGCAAAAAGAAAAAAGCTGGAAGTGGCGCTGTGGCTCAAGTGGTAGCGCTAGCCTTGAGCTGAAGAGCTGAGGGATAGCGCCCAGGCCCAGAGTTCAGGCCCACGACCGGACCCAAAAAAAAAAAAAAAAGTTGTGCAATAGTAGAATTTTGATAATTACTGTGAAATTTTATGCTGACACAGGCCTGTTGGCTGGGACTCATAAAGAATAGCTCTTAAGATGATGAAGTGAGATCAGTCTCAGCCTCTTTTGTTTTCAGCAATCTTTTATATATAAAAACCTACAAGAAAACCATCCGAAAGCTCAGCCCATGACCCTTAGGGGACAGGTTCAGGGCTGGCCTTTGCAAGACAACCCAGAAGTCTACACCATGGAGCTGCAACATATCAATCCAACACTGAACTTTATTTTCCAAACTCCTGTTAAACTTTTCCACATTCATATACTGATCCATATTAAATTATCACAACCCTTAGGTCTACATTAGGTTTTTATCAATCTCTGAATCATTGTGGTTAAAGGAGTCAGCCTTGTTTCCTTTGATTTCCTCAAGAGAATTATAATTCACCCACTCTCTTCAACATACAATACTCACACACAATACAAACACACACACTTACACATATACACACAGACATACACACATACACACCACACACATAGTATGTGAATAGTTTTTTCTTTTTTTTGAAAGTTGTGGAGCCTGAACTCTAGGCCTGGGCGCTGTCCCTCAGCTCTTCAGCTCAAGGCTAGTGCCCTACCACTTGAGCCACAGTGCCACTTCCGGCTTTTTCCTGCTTGTGTGGTGCTAAGGAATCGAACCCAGGGTCTCATGCATGCAAGGCAAGCACTCTACCACTGAGCCACCTTCCCAGCCCTGTGAAGTTATTTTTATAGGACTGATTTTTTTTTGTTTTTTGTTTTTGTTTTTGTTGGTCATGGGGCTTGAACTCTGGGCTTGGGCGCTGTCCCTGCACTCTTTGGCTCAAGGCAAGCACTCTACCACTTGAACCACAGCACCACTTCCGGTTTTCTAGTGGTTTACTGGAGATGAGTGTCTCATGTGGACTTTCCTGCCCAGGCCGGCTTTGAACCGTGATCACCAGATCTCAGCCTCCTGAGTAGCTAGAATCCTGCTACTCAGGCGTGAGCCACTGGTGCCCGGCAGGCCTGATTTGTTTTACTGCAAATTCATGGGCTTAAAAGAATAAAATCTCACTGGAGGCCAGGGGCACAGGCCGCTAAACCTAGCTACACCATTAGAGGATTTGAGTTTCACAGCTAGCCCAGGCAGAAAAGACTGTGAGACATCATCTACAAAATAGCCAGCAAAAAGCTGAGTGAGAGGTGTGGCTCAAGTGGAAGACATCAGCTGAATAATCTAGCCAAGCAAGCCATAGACCCCGAGTTCAAATCTTAGTATCAGAAAAAATAAAAGTAAAACCTTGTTTACCCTTTCAAGAGCCAGTATCTGAGTCTTTGGGTGAGATTATGCCAGCCATACAGGGCATACTCATTTGTACTCATCCTTACTACCAAAACAGAAGTAAAAGACGAGCAATGAGGAAGGACAATAGCTTTTATTAAAACAAATGCAAAGGAAATTTTCTCTAGGTTACATCATCATCTGAGGCATCCTCTTCCGCTGTGAGATTTCTCTGTCACACTGGGACTTGTCACTTCTATTATAATAAGCCCTTAAGAGATTTCTCTCTCTCTCCTGTTCAGGGAGACAGGCTGGGATGAAAAGGATTCAGTCTTTTAAATAGTGATGTTTGTTATAGATCTCTAGGAGACACTTGCTTATAAAATGTTTATAAAGTTGAAGTGAGAATCAACTAGATGTTTCTACCGTGAAGTGTTTACAAGTGTTTTTATAAAATTGGAGTGGGGGTTTCACAGTGGTATCATCGGCAGACTTCATTGCGTGAGAGACAAGCAAAAATAAAGGAGTTGGTATGAAAGTTTGAAGTTGGATTTGGGGTCCGTTCTCTTAAGAGACCCGGCTAAAGTTGCTTTCCTTTGGACGGTAAATGTGCTTAACTTTAATTGCTCCCTCAGTGGTACCAATGCCAGAATCATGAACACATTCTCCATGGTGTCTGAAAGAAGTGATGCAGGCCTGAATGTTTCAACAGTCTTGATGGTGTACGATGTGTAACTCTAATACAAACACTGGCTCTCAGCTCCTGTGGCCAGGACACTACGTGCTGTTCTAAGAACCTGAAAATGTTCCCTGGGCTGCGTTTACCTCACTGCGGAGGACTCCACCAGCCGTTCCTGAGGACAACAGGGTTCTATCTTGGTAGTTCTTCCTTCAGTGACACCTTCATCCCAGAGCCACTGGAATAACGTATTTTGAATGCTCAATGTCATAAACCTCAGGATTTCTAGTTCTTTGAAGAAGCTTCTTTCCTGGAAAGAATTTTAGAATGGAGAGGATTAAAGGCTTATTGTCTTAGCAGCAGGTTTTCATGAAAGAAATAAGTATTCATTTCACTTGCACAAACATAGAAAAGTGATGGTCTAGTTGCTCTGTATTCTTGTGGTACTTAGTTCTTTTCAGGGACTTTCCCTCCTTATCTTTATAGATATA